GACGTTGTGCATATGATGCCTGCATTGGAGCCTCTTCTATTAAGATATCGCCTACCCGTAGACCCAAATCCAGGTTCAAAGTTAAGTATCGGTTAGTGTACTAGTAGAGAGTTGGCGATGCAGACTTGTGGTTACATCGGATATGACTGAGAGGGTTTGTTTACGCGCATACTGTACCAGCAGTCGCATTGCGTGCGTGCACTTCAGCGTCCTCAGCTGTGTTTGCTGTGTGATGAAGCTCACCCGTCCGTGTGTTGCTGGTTGATAGGAGGAGCCCGCACGCCAACACACTGTCTTCACATAGCTACAGTAACCTGAGCGTTTTCAATGCACCTGTTGCCCTCGCAGATTGTTGAGTCGGGGACTTTGGGTCCAATCAGCCGACACGGACGGGGTGTCTATCAAGATAAAAATAAAACACCGTTTCAGATTGTTGCGCTGGAGAAACCCCAAGACTCCGGCAATGCACCTGCAGTTGACAGTGAAGGGTATGTGATGCACCTGTAACCCATCTCGCTGATGAAACGCCTCACACTACTGGATTGGACTATATATATATATATATATATATATGTATATGTATATGTATACATTCCCATTGCATATGAATTTACACGCACGCACATACACAGCCACCAGCAACCCATCTACCGGCTAAATAAACCATGGACACTTGACCCATACCCACATCAACAGGGCAGGTGTTCAGCTGACGCACCTGGCAGACCTCACCGCGGCTGACACAGCCCATGTGAAAGCCGTGGCTATGAATCCCGTGGGTATGACATTCGAAGACATTGACAGGCTGGTCACCCACACGGCTGTGCGTGCTGAGTGGTTCCATTGCTTCTGGTAGGTGCATACCGCTTGACGTCCGCAAGTTGATAGGCCCGAGTGGGTGCGTCCCGGCCCTCATAGTCGCAATCGAGGTGCACTACCTTCTGTGTGCAGGACTCTTGGTGCGTGCGTGTGTGCACACCTTTAACCGTTCCATGTCATCGCATTCATCTATGCAGGGCGGGGGTAGATGGTATACTGAGCCCTGGGCTTAAGGCTGCAGACAGGGTGCGTCCTTATCTGTGGGTTGTGCATTGGCGTTGGGGTTAGAGTCGCATATCCGTTTATGTTTGTTAGCAAAGTGTGTGAGTCGCATATTCGTTTATGTTTGTTAGCAAAGTGTGTGTGTGTGTCGCATATTCGTTTGTCTTTGTTAGCAAAGTGTGTATGTTGGATGCCTGTGTGTGCGTGATTCTGTTGTCATGGCGGGGTAGTGCGCATGTGCACTCGGGGGGGGGTTGTATGCACAGGTGAGCCGTGCTTGGTGGTATGCGTGTGTCTGTGATATGCCTATACAGCAGCTCAAGTGCATCGTAGTCCGTTCGCGAGATTGCGTACTCTGCTCTTCAGTACAACATGTCAGCACGTGATCACATGGTAGTCTATTTGACTACTACTTTTAAAAGCCAAATTAAAAGACTCGTGTCTTCCCGACCGACCTATGGTTTGGACGCTGAGCAGTCTATCGATACACGTTGTCTGATATCCGAATTAGTACAAACGAAGGAAGTCCCGCTGGGGAGATATCTCGTAGGCCAAACACGGGCCATTTGATGAGTAACGAACAATGCAGCCACCCAGGACAGGCAGTGCACTCACAGCACCAGGTGTACTGCACCCACTAACAACACCTGTGGGTATGTCGACTGTTGGGCGTATAGTGCCAAGCCAACTCAGTCAATCCAACAAGCGACTACGCTCAGTGAAAAACTCAGTTAATCCAACAAGCGACTATGCTCAGTGAAAAACTCAGTTAATCCAACAAGCGACTACGCTCAGTGACAGCTGGTGGTTGTGGCCTTCTAACCTTTCACCCGTCTCTCCTACAGATCACACTGACCAACTCCAAATCAGCGTTTAGTGAATCACTGGGGGAATACGCGGTTGGGGCGCTGCTGCATTTTGCGAAGAAGGTGAGACTGTTGTGTGTAGAAAGTGCAATACGTATGACTGGTGTTGCATGCGGAACGAGAACATATATGCTCGGTATTCTGACTATGTTCCAGTATTCGGTAGTATTGGATTTGTAAGTGCAGCGATGATGGCTGTGTTAACGTTCATAAGCCAGCATTGACAGAACGGCGACAACATCTGAAGTATCATCTATAGACCTACATGTGACTGTCGTCTCTCGCCGTAAATTATGTTTAACGTTTTCTATTAGTGACTCGGCAGTGTCGCCGTCACGTTCACCGCCATGTGCTCATTCCTCATGCACACTTCTTGTTTACGTTGCTGAATCCACTTCCGTTAGGTTCCGCTCTCAGTGGACTTGTACCGCCAGAAAAAATGGGAACAGTACTCCGTATCCATGCTAAAGGGGAAGTCTCTAGGGATTGTAGGTTTGTGCGCGTGTGTGCATGCTTGATTGTATCTCCCTGTGCTCACATTACGTGAATACGTTGTGTTGTACGGCGCAGTGTCCTGTTCAACGGATATCTGAAGATTATCTAATAGTCTTGGAAGAAACAATAGTTGTACACCCTAAAAGCCTAAAACTATTGAATGTTTTTTCTGACAGGGTATGGCAGCATTGGGCGAGAGGTGGCGAAACGCGCTAAGTATGGATTTGGCATGAAGGTAGGTCGGTGATTGCATGCAACCAGCTAAGTATGGATTTGGCATGAAGGTAGGTAGGTGATTGCATGCAACCAGCTAAGTATGGATTTGACATGAAGGTAGGTAGGTGATTGCATGCAACCAGCTAAGTATGGATTTGGCATGAAGGTAGGTAGGTGACTGTATGCAACCAGCTAAGTAGGGATTTGGCATGAAGGTAGGTAGGTGATTGCATGCAACCAGCACAGTCCACTGTATACTTCATATGCATACAATGGATCATTTGGGGTTGGAACGTACCGAGCATCACTAATACCCTCAACGACTCTCAACCGAATAAGCCGTCTGGAGCTGATGACCGATGGTTGTAGGCATGTGTATGCCCGGTTGCATGTGTTGTGCGCAGATGAACTAGCCGGCATATGCATACGCTAGTACGACGCAGCACACCTGCCTGTGGCTGCTCTGTGTGTGTCTGTGTCTGTGGTTGTGTGTGTGTTGTTGAGACCCTCTGATCCACGTGCACAAAGGCTTCCCTCACCTGTGTGCCCGTTCTTATCTCCGTACACTACATACTCGCGTCATCCCCAAAGATCGTTGCCGTCAAACGGAGGCCTGAGCAGCTCACAGAGGAGGACCGCACTATAGCCGACCAAGTGTGTGGGTCAGCGGATGATGCGTTAATTGGTATGCCAAGGGTTTCTGTTGCAGACATGTAGTCCTCGAACAAGTGCACGCGCTGGTGGTTATACACCAGCGTGCTATGTGCAGGTATTGTGAGATGGTTGTACTGGGGACTGTTTGGCTCTGTGTGTATTGTGAGATAGTTGTACTGGGGACTGTTTGTCTCTGTGTGTATTGTGAGAGGTTTGTGCGTTGCATCTAGCCTTGTCATGGTGTGCGCGGGGGATACGTGTTGCATAGTCGGTTCGTAGTATGGAGATGGTATTAAATCATCTCTTATTGTATCAGCTTTTTTAATGGCGTTTATACTGACTAAGCCGTGAGCAACCCCCTAAACCCTATACCCTGAAAGCCTAAAGCTCAGCCCAATCGGACGTTACATCCGGAGTCATATATCAGTGCTCTGTAGTCCCCAGGGCCTTCCTCATCCCGTAGTGTGCATACTATGTTTCAGGGTTTAATTATTTTTCTTATTTTTGTTCGAATCATAACACCACTATACCAGCCAACTGCGACTACATAGTCAGTGCACTCCCGGGCACCGCCAAAACACACCACTTCTGGAACACGCACCAGCTGATGAAGCTCAAGAAGGACTGTGTGTTTGTCAACATCGGCAGAGGCAACAGCGTCAATGAACAGGATCTGTATGATGTGATGAAATCAGGACACCTGAAAGGTATGTCCTTATATGGAGTATAGGTATCCGCCCAGAGCGTAGCTGGCTATTCTCAATGTGAGCCTTTAGGTATGGTGTTCTCAGGAGGGTTGGGTTTTGAATCCCTGAAAACCTTAGGTCCCATGTGGACCTGCTACTCGATCTTAGGCTTACACTGACTGGTAGAGAGCGGTTGTGCACTGCGCACGGTCAATGAGAGTACATGGGTGCACATCAGCAGTAAGGCTTTGAGCTTTCAGTTTATGGTATGCTTATCTAGACGCAATTGCACACGTCGTGTGGTAGTGTGTGTAGTTTCCTGGCGAACGGCCATCTGAATGGTTATATGTCCATTGATTTGTGATTGATTAGCCATGGATGGTATAGACAGTGCTGTGTCTGTCTACAGATGTATTTACATAGAATGTAATATGTATGAAGGATGTATTTATTTAGAATATATTAAACATATATATATATCAGAACTCAATGGACGTACTGAGTACACGCACCCTTCACACATCTCACATTATAAGCAAATACATTCTTCATACATCACATATATATATATATATATATATATATATATATATATATATATATATATATGTATTATTATTNTTTNTATATACTACTACTATATATATATATATATA